CGCGGCAGGCCTGGCGCTGTCCCGCCTCTGGGTCAAGTCTGCAGCCAGCAGTTCTGTGGATGCTGTGAGTTCTTTTTTTGGCTAAGAATGGTTTTATAAAGGAGACAGCTTCGGTGAGGGCAAGGAATATGTATATATATATATTTTGCTGTAGGATTTTAAGCTGAAATCCTAAACTCAGGATTTTTGTGTGTTTTGTTTTGTTTGGGAATATATCGGTGTTCGTATGTTTAAAATGGAACAGGTATCCACATATCTTACCCTCTACTTTGGAGCTTGAACAAGATGTAGCTAGCTAGCTATTTATACTCGGGGTACAATAGCCATATAATAATAACTCTTTGTATAGTTAAAAAAATTAGTTTACAAAGCAAATCTAATTTAAAGAGGGGCCATTTCACACCGGTGGATTATTGAAAGAAATGGAAAATAAACGTAGGCCATGGTGTGGAAAACTTGGAATCCTGCACATTGTTGATGGGATTGCAGAATGGTGCAGCAGCTATGGAAATAGTTTGGCAGTTCCTCGAAAAGTTAAACAGAATTACCATACGATCTTATTTCGCTTCGAGATGTAAAAACAAAAAGAAAAACACACACAAAGAACATGAAAGCAGGGCCGCAAACAGATACGTGTACACCAGTGTTGATGGCAACATTATTCACAAAAACCCACCCAAATGTCCGTCCATGGGTTAATGGAAAACAAAATGTGGCATAGACATACCATGGAATATTATTCAGCCTTAAAAAGGAATGAAATTTTGATACGTGCTATAATGTAGATGAACTTTGAAAACATTAAGTGAAGTGAGCCAGTCTCGAAAGGACAAATATTGTGTGATTCCAGTTACATGAGGTTTCTAGGGTAGACAGTTTCATAAAAGACTGAAAGTAAGGTAGTGGTTACCAAGGTCTGAGGGGAGGGAAGAATGGGGAGCTACTCCTTAATGGCTATAGCCACTGAACTATATACTTAAAAATGGTCCAAATGGATAATTTTTAAAAATACATATTTTATTGATTTCAGAGAGGAAGAGAGGGAGTGAGAGATAGAAACATCAATGATGAGAGAGAATCATTGATCAGCTGCCTCCTGCACGTACCCTTCTGAGGATCGAGCCTGCAACCCGGGCATGTGCCTGACTGGGAGTCAAACCATAACCACCTGGTTCATGGGTTGAGGTTCAACCACTGAGCCACAATGGTTGGGCCAAATGGATAATTTAAAGTTATGTATATGTTATCATATTTTGTAAAAGCACTCCTTCCCCCCAAATAGAATTACAGTGGGGCCTTGACTTACGAGTGTCCCAACTAACGAGTTTTTTGAGATACCAGCTGTATCTCGGCTGATTTTTTACATTGAGTTGATAGAGTAATTTGAGTTAACGAGCTCCTTAACGGGCTCGGTCTCGGAACGAATTAAACTCGTAAGTCAAGGCCCCACTGTACTTTCTATGTAAATATCTAACCACAGACATCTTTTAATACTGAGTGCTGTAGCCCTAGCAGGTGGCTCTTACCTCGTGTAAAATTCTAAACAACCCAGTGGAACTTTAAGTGCCATTAAACACCTGACTTCCATTCACTGTCGTCTACATCATATTTAAGCAATTACAACTTACCTTTTTGGTTAAAGGTAATCACCCTACTCCCAAGTGGCTGAACTGCTTATCATCCTGGGTGGGTTGCCCAGATAAGCCCTATGCTATCACACTCTTATACCAATGCTGTGGATGGGAATCCACAGGCCATTTGCTACCGAGCTCAAAAAGGAGCTTTTTGAGTTCTTTCGCTAAAACCTACAGATCTTGAGCTGAGAGTGCTGAGAGTGGAATCATTAAGGAGGACAGGATGGGTTGGGTTGAGCGCTGATGATGAATTCTCACAACAATTCTTCTCTCTCTAGACCCGCCTTCCCCAGGTGGATCTCGTTAACCGCCAAGAGCCAGGTGAGAAGAGGGTAGTGCTGTACTCAGGCCACATGGAGACAGGCCAGGTAAGGCTTAAGTTCTACTCTGAGAACCCTGTTTACTGCCGGCAAACCTTGCTGTGCATGACTCCATGCCTTTGAGACAGCAAAAAATCAGAAACAATTCCCTCACAGCTGTGTTTATTATGATTGCTGGTAATAATAATAAGCAACTGACATTCATTGCATATTCGAGGTGCCAAGAAGCATTTTAAGTAAAATCCCATAAAACTCTGAACTATTACTATCTGTTTTTGCGAGTGAGGCTCAGAGAGGTAAAGAACTTGACTCAGGGTCCTCCTACCAGTCCTTTGTAGAGTCTGGACTCCACAGGTAGGGCCTATCTGACTCCAGACTTCAGGTCCTTAACTGGTACCCACATTTACACATTAGCTCACAAAAGTAAGACAAGACACCTCCCAACTATGTTATTTAAACACAAAAAACAAAACAAAGCTTCTGGAATTTGGACTGTGGCCCTTTAGAATCTCTGTCGATTAGGAGTTCCTGTGTTTCTTCAGATGTCCCCAATTCTCCTGGTGTTAGTTCCTGGTTTACTCCTCCATCACAGAGACCACCTGTTTGAGCAGTACCTGAAGGTTGGGATTCTGAGTTTCACCTTGAACTTGAGCCTCCCCAGACTCAGGATCATTATTAGCATCAGCCAGATTCTTCCAAACTAATCAAAGTGCTCTTTTATTTCCAGTGATTTAAATGCTTAGCTATTGTTGCTATTCCTTTCATCTTTATTTATAGAACAAACAGAAGGTTTTAGATGACTATATTTAGAAATGCCATCTGGTAGGCAAACTATCGAACAAAAATGTTTTGTTCCTTTCATGTGACTGCAGTACTTTGAAATGTAATTAAGTTTCAGGATGGTTGTTTGCTTCTTTTATGGTGGATCTTTTGCCCTGTTGAACTTGGGGGGAAATTATCCCTGGAAGATTTTTATTGGTACATTCTTTTATTCTTTGTGTATCTTTTAATTATTTCGTTGTTGCTCATTTGCTTTCAGCCAGTCTGTGTGCCCATTGCTAACTTGAATGTCTAAACTCAGAGAATCAAGTAAACAAAATAAAAACAAAACAGAAAAGTCTCCCTTTTTGCAAAGTTTCAATATCTGTTGGGATCTAAACATATAAATGTCAGGGTCAGAGTTTAGTTTGCTGTTACACTATGTGTTTAGAAGTCCTTTAGGGCACACTTGTTGGCTTAAAAAAGTGATTGAAATATTAGCCACTTAGATGGCGAATGTTTGGTATTTTCAAATGATTGCAGTTAAGTGAAATCACATTAGTCATGCAGACATTGCACAGTTATCCATTAGTTGTTTTACTCATTTTTGAGCATCAAATTGTATCCTCTCCATTGGTTGTTCTTCTAAAAAATATATTTTTATTGATTTCAGAGAGAAGGGAGAGGGAGAGAGAAATAGAAACATCAACGAGGAGAAAGAATCAACAGGTGGCTGCCTCCTGCATGCCCCCTACTGGGGATCCAGTCTGCAACCCTAGCATGTGCCCTGACTGGGGATCAATCTGTGACTTTGTGGTTCATAGGTCAATGCTCAACCACTGAGCCATGCCGGCCAGGCCATTGGTTTTTATCTGTTGCATTATTCGAAGGGACAGAGAAACACATGTACAGTACATAAACAATAGGTATACATTGGGTAAAATGCCCAGCATTAGATTTTTAAAAATTTTATAAATTGACAATGTAACTTTCATTATACATTCCCCTTGTCCATTTGTGAAAACTGACTAGGAAAAAACTTAAAGGTCCTGAATTCGTATAAACAGAACTAAATGCTTTAGAAAGGACTGGTTATGTGAGATTATAAACTTTAACATAGCCATTGCCTCCGTTCTTGGGATCTTAAAGATTTTCCTGTTCTGGGCTCAAATGCCCTTTATACCTGCTCTACAACATTTGTACATTTGATCATTTACTTTTCTGTCTTTCCCATTCCCCACTCGCATACAATGGGCCTAAAAAAAATCAACAAAAAATAAAGAGTTTTTCTTTAATGTTGCCACTGTGCTAAGTCCTTAGTAAGTATTCTCTTACTAGAAAGCAGACTGCAGATGTGTGTGTGTGTGTGAAGATAATTTTCACGTAATTTTTCTCCCATGTTTCCCACTAGTTTATATTTACATGGTCATTATAGGATGCATAATAGACAAAAGATGTTCAGAAATATCACTCACTACACCTGTGTCAATAGGAAAAGTACAAGAGATGAACAATCTACTGAATAATTTACATTTTTTAAAGCACACGAAACCTCAGCTTTTGGAACCACAATTGACTATTTCAACTTCTTGCTTCAGTTTGTACCAATGATGATCTTTAAAAAGCTGTTTGTGTAATTTATTTCTCTCTTCTAACAATTTACGTATTCTTCTCGCTAACATTGAAGTCTAAGTGGAAAAACATTAACAATATCTTGTTTACGAAGACAAGTGGGTTGACTGTAGTAAAAATATCGATTCCTGTCTTGCTTCTCAGTGAGGAATGCCAACCATGAAGTATGTTGGCACTTGAAATATAATTTCAAGAAAGCCAGAAAAAGTGCATACCTTTACTTGCAAAAGTATGAATTATTTATTTTACTTCACAAAAAATGCACTAATGTTCAACTCAGGCTGAAAACAATTGAAGGACAGTTTTTACCTAAACTATGTAAAGCATTAAAAGGGCTTTTAATATCTTAACATAGACTATAAGAATGTTTATTCCTTTCTATCCAACGTAGACATAAAATTTAAAATTTAAAAAATTAAAACATTAGAAAATAAATAGTAACCAGCTTATATTAACTTAGTTATTTCTTTTTTTTAAAAAAAAGAGTAGATTCACATATGTTATATAGATTTAAATCTTCCTCTTTCCCATTAAAAAAAATTGCTATTTACGTAGGTTTTTTTTTTTTTTTTTTTTTTTTTTTTTTTTTACATTGTGCAGGTGGAGTTGATAGACGAGAAAGAGTATTTCATGGTTATTAAAATCACTGAATATACTAACAATTGCTCTCTCTTGCCACTCTTGTCAGGGACTAGTTCTGCTCAGTCACATGGCTAACATCTGGAAGCCACTCGGGGTAATAGCTACCACCAACTTGTTGCTTGTTCAGCAAAGACATACTAGAACGGATATTGAGAAGGCAAATTCAGTGTTTCCCTTGATACGCACACATAGACGCAAATCTCATCATCGTCTTTAAGCCCTTATTTAGTCCCCTGAAAAGACTGAACTGTTAATAAACATGTTCTTTGTCTTAAAACAAACTTCCAGAAAACATAAAAATGCACTGCACATGCAACCTCTTGATTATTTCAGTTCACACCGGACATGATTTTCATTTTGACCCTTGGCCTTGGCCATAAACACAAGGCGAATGCATTTTTCCCCTACAAGTTGTACTTTGTGTAAAGCACCATGTTTCCCTTGTAACATCATTAAGGGGACTTGCTCATTTCTGACAAAAAAAAAAGAGAAGAAAAATATAGAGTGTGATATGAAAAGTCCAACCATACTCTTGGTTGTACACAACAGCACTCATTTCTTAACCATGTTCCCCAAATCTCTCAGGCTTTTCCAATAGGGTCAATGCAAGAACCTTCTCTAGGAATTTCATTTAAAAGATTAAAAAAAAAAAGATTCATGTGTGCTTGTACAAACGGCCCACAAATACTGTGAAGAACCAATATTCAGGGTGTCTCCAAAAAAATGTATGCCTGCTTTAAGAGCTGATTTCTATTACATTTTAAAAGTGAAATGTATTTTAATAAGCCTGACTTAATAATTATTCAAAGTGTGTATATATTTTTCAGGACACCCTATGTGTATATTTTTTTAAATAATGGACTATATCATATGTTAGAAAAAAAGCTTGCTTTTATATTCAAAGGTTATGCTAATCATGGCAATTATTTGGGGATCTGAAGCTTAAAATGAAGCCCTTTGAAGAGAGAACTTGAATTTGTGGCTGTGACTGTTGTTCCCAGAGGTTGTCATTGTTTATAATTGTTGCCTTTTGGGGCCTGTGGTTGGCTAAATCCTTTCTTCAAGATGTCACCACATTCCCCATTACTACATTCCAAGATGTTCTGCAGAAGCTTCTTGCTCACCTCCCACACTGTTTGAAAGGATGCTTGATTGCATCTCTAAGAGTGTTTCTGTCTGGCTTGGCTATTGGCAGTTGGTTCCCATAAGTTCTCTTAAGTCTTTGGGGTTTGTGTGCCTAGCCCAGTGAAGCCGTATTGTGTGATGGCCAGCATTTCAATTCACATGGTCGAAAAAAATATCTTACGGCAAATGATACAAAATCGGTGACTTCTCACGTATCCAGATGTCTCAAGTTCACATACTATGGTCCAGTATTTCTATTTCTCAAATGATCGGAGTTGTAAACGCAATTATGATAACCCTCTCATACAGAGTGAAGTCAGGAATCAGCATTGGCTTCCTAGAGATGACGTGGGTATTATGGCCTTTTGTTGTGAGTCATCCTAGAAGTTCAACTGGGTATCAAAAACCTAGTAACTGCCAAACTGGTTTGGCTCAGTGGATAGAGCATCGGCCTGTGGACTGAAGGGTCCCAGGTTCGATTCCGGTCATGGGCATGTGCCTTGGTTGCGGGCACATCCCCAGTGGGAAGTGTGCAGGAGGTAGCTGGTTGATGTTTCTCTCTCGTCGATGTTTCTGACTCTCTATCCCTCTCCCTTCCTCTCTGTGAAAAATCAATAAAATATGTTTACAAAACAACAACAACAAACAAACAAACAAAAAACCTAGTAACTGCTACCTGAGGATTGGTAAGGGGAACTTTTCATTCAGCGTAACCAAGTTAGTTAAAATGTTAACAGCACTGATGGATTGCCATCTATAACCTGAGCACTAGAACCAAGATAATTGACAAGTCTTAATGTACATTTCCTTTCTGTAGCTCAGAGGATAAATATAGCCACAGGACGATGAGAGAAAAGATGCATCTTAAGGCTATCTTCTTCATAGTTAGA